ATGCGAGTAATCATATGACCAATAATTACTCGTATTTTTCTGAATTAAATGAAAATATAACCGCACGGGTGAGATTCGGAGACTGATCGTGCATAGACATAAAAGGAAAGGGATCGATTTTGTTCGTAGGAAAAAACGGAGAACAAAAATTATTGGAAGATACTTATTGTATTTCGTCTCTTCGAAGTAATGTGATTAGTCTCGGACAAGCTACAATATCCGGTTGTGATATTCGTCTCCGAGACGATTTCTTAACCATACGAGATAGAGATGGAAGATCACTTATGAAAGTCCCGTGAAGTGCAAATCATCTTTATAAGACCCAACTAAAAGTTGGGAAACCCTACTGCTTGCAAGCTAACATGAATGAAGAGTCATGGTTATGGCACGCTCGACTTGGCCATATCGGTTTTGGTGCGGTGAAGTTGATGCACGAGCTAGCTAAAAGGGTACCGGTAATTAAGCATCAAGATCAGCTTTCTGAGTCTTGTATGGTTGGTAAACAAACGAAGTACTCATCTCCGAAGAAAGCAACATACAGAGCAACATGTATCCTTGAGATGGTACACAGGGATATTTGTGGACCGGTGGAGCCCCCCACTCAAGCGGGTAATATTTATATCTTGGTTCTTATCAACGATTTTTCAAGATATGTGGTCTTTTCTCTTGAAAAAAAAAGTGACGAGTTTAGTGTTATTAAAAAATTCAAAACGACAATTGAAAAGCGAACGGGTAAAGAGATTAAAACATTCCATACGGATAGAGGTGGTGAATTTACGTCACATGACTTTAACCGTTTTTGTGACCAATAAGGTATAGCACGACTGTTGACGGCTCCTTATGCACCTCAATAAAATGGTATAGTCGAACGGAGAAACCGAACTCTACTCGAGATGACTCGGTGCCTCATGAAAGCAAAAGGTGTACCAAATTACTTTTGGGGTGAAGTGGTTCAACATGCAACCTTTATTATAAACCAAACCCCTACGTGAGCATTGGTAGGAGTTACGCCATACAAAAAAGTTTATGGTAAAAAACCAGACCTTGAAGACTTAAAAGTATTTGGGTACGTTGCCTATGAAAGAATAATATCAAAAAGCACTAGAAGGAACTCGATGATAGGTCTAAACCATTGGTGTATCTCGGCAAGGAACCCAGTTCGGGAGGATTTCGTCTTTTCAATCTGCGTGAAAATAAAATTATCATAAGTGCCTATGCCATTTGTGATGAGAAAAGAAGTTGGAAATGAAAAAATATGTCCGAAGATTTGAACCAAGACGAAAGGGAACAAGGTACTTTCACGGTCTTGTAGGGCGATATACAAGCAGCTGAAAGTGATCAACCTTGCATCAATGAGACGAGCCCAACAATCACTGGCCAAAGCTAGCCCACAACCGACCAGCCAGATCAGTAGACTAGAATCAGCGCCGCAGGCCAGAAATCAGGCCCAAAACGACCCGATCATGCGATTAGCAGCACAGATCATGCAAACAGCCCATAACAAGATGAAACTGACTCTGACAGTGATGTTACGACTGTCCCGGTATGTCGCTCAGATCGTATTTTTGTGTTACCGAAACGGTTAAATGATTATGTGCTGAATGTTAATGAACTTTTGTTAACATTTGACGAGGAACCGAGGAATTTCAATGAAGCCAGAGTGAATCCGGAATGGCTCAAAGCAATAAAAACCGAGATTGATTCTATCGAGAAGAATAACACTTGGAAACTTGTTTCTCTACCTAAAGATGTTAAGCCTATCGGGTTAAAGTGGTTGTTCAAAATCAAAAGAAACGCAGATGACTCGATTATTAAGTACAAAGTGCGTTTAGTTGCTAAAGGCTATGTACAACAACCCGATATTGACTTTGATGAGGTATTCGCGCCGGTAGCTCGACTCAAGACAATAGGACTCTTGATTGCTCTTGCAGCCGGGAGAGGATGGAAGATTCATCACTTGGATGTTAAAACGGCCTTCTTGCATGGTAATTTAAAGGAAGAAGTGTATGTTATTCAACCCGAGGGTTTTGAAAAACTGGGAGAGAGAAAAAAAGTTTACAAGTTGGCAAAAGCTTTATATGGCCTAAGACAAGCTCCAAGGGCATGGAACTTAAAGCTCGACAGTATTCTAAAGAATATGGGTTTTCAACGATGCTTGCAAGAAAAGGCGGTCTATAGAAAGGTGTCCAAAGAGGAATTTATCATTATTGCGGTTTATGTGGATGATTTATTCGTAACAGGGACATGCCTAGAGTTCATAAATCAGTTCAAGAAAAGGATGGCGTCTCAGTTTGAAATGTCAGATCTTGGTGAATTAACCTATTACATGGGTATCGAAGTTTCTCAAGAAAAGGGTTGTGTAAAGATCAAGCAAGATAGTTATGCCATGAAAATCTTAAAAGAAGCTGGTATGGAGGATTGCGATGCAACTTTATGTCCAATGGAACAGGGACTCAAGTTGTCGAAAGCCGAAAAAGAACCGCAAGTTGAAGCTACTCATTATCGAAAATTAGTAGGTTGCTTACGTTATCTCTTGCATACACGTCCAGATTTGACATGCTCAGTTGGGGTACAAAGTCGATACATGCAAAGGCCTAGAGAATCACATGCACGAGCTATTAAGCAAATCCCCGCTATCTCCAAGGAACAACCGCATTTGGGATAAAATACGAGCAGGGTAATGACATGAAACTAGTGGGATATAGCGATACAAGTCGTAATGTTGACATAGACGATGGTCGAAGTACTACGGGTCATGTTTTTTTTTTTATCTTGGTACATCACCTATCACATGGTGCTCACAAAAGGAAGCTACCATGGTGTTATCTTCGTGTGAAACTGAATTCATGGCAGCTACTGCAGCTGCATGTCAAGCAATTTGGCTAAGGGAGTTATTGGCAGAGTTGACAGGGTTGGAGAAACAGAAGGTGTTGATTCGAGTTGATAGTAAATCAGCAATTGCGTTGTCAAAGAACCTGGTATTTCATGGTAGAAGCAAACACATTCACACTCAATATCACTTTATTCGAGAGTGTGTTGAAAATGAGCAGGTGGTAGTCGAAACATGTTTCCAGAGACAAACAGAGAGCAGATCCTTTAACGAAGGCCTTGGCGCGCATAAGGTTCAAGGAAATGAGATCGTTACTGGGTCTGCAACAGTTACACTCCTCGACTCAGAAATTCAGGGGGTGATTGTTGGCGAATTGTTTGAGTCCGATTATGGCATGGATAGTTGATCGGGTTCGGCATTGGAGATTGGAGTGTAGTCCAAATTATCAAAGTTTAATTTAAATATGTGATAATTGTCTATTCCTAGAATATAGGGGTTTCCTTAGATAATTATATGGTTTAAATTAAATAGGATCCTAGATATATTCTAACGTGTCAGGTTAGTCTATAAATACTGTGAAGGATAGGGATCATGTATAATTGAAGTTTTAAGTTAGTTTTCTTCAATTAAATATTCGCGTGTTTGGCAATACTTTCTGTTTCGTTTCACTTTGCTTACCTTCAGTGATTGAACCAATTGCATGTATTGAAGAGAACTTGACATGTTACCGAGCATATTGAACAATTTGATTACCCTTCTCATTATCGACCTTATGTTCTCATCAAATTTGTTCAATTTTTTTGGATTATCTTGGAAAGAGAACGACACCTATGGCAAAAACTTAGAAACAGAAAATATACACTTAAAAGGATGTGGTACTGCCAAAAGCATGCCATACATTCTTGTTCCAATGATCTATGTTTCATATGTATTTACGGGTGAAACACGGGGTTAGTGTGGAAGAAATAGTAGACAACGTTTTGCAAGCTTGGGAAGCAACAACATGCTCCAAACGCGATGATTCCAAATATGCATCACCCGCTCCCATGTCTGCTTTGCTATTGCATTACTATCGATCTTTAGAAGCAGAAGACGTGGCTCTTAGCTCTTTATCGTGCATGGCTGTAGCCAGTTAACTTGCGTTCTTTTTGAATTCTCTAGTGTTTGTTAATCAGTAGAGTACACCTTCAATGGTTTGGTTGCTACATTGCTTGCAAATGACCCATATTGTGGATATGGCATAAACACTAGATTATTAATAAGCTTAAGAAACCACTTTATAGTTTGTACTTTTTAGACGGGATGGAACACATTGGGTGTATAGGTAAATGGAATAATCAGTAATGATTGGACTTTTAAGTTTTTGTTGCAAACTAACCATTATTTATGGAAGAATGAATTACATTGTTGGTTCCTATATTATGGGTGCTGTTCTAAATGGCTTGCTGCAATGGCCGTCGTGACTCAAGGTTTGTGTTACACGTCATGTTAAACCCGTGACACACCATTACACGGTTTTTATAACATAACATTTGATTTTTTTTTAAAAACACCAAATTATATTTATAAATAAAGAAAAATCATTTTTTAATAAAATGATATTTGTTATATATAATAATATATGTAAAAATAATTAGTATGTAACTTAATTTAAATAAAATATATTTAATAATTGAATTCAATATTACAAATATGCGGTTTCAAAAACTTGGCCGGCGTAAATTTTGTCGCTTTGTGAGAGAGTTGGAGCACTCCACCCTTCAAAAGTTAGATTATGATGGTCCATTGGAGATGCACTCAGAATTTGTGCCACTATCCGAATGCTTTAAAATATGCATCTTTAAAATACGCTTTGTACTTGTTCTTCAACGTAGATTCATGACCACTAGAAAAACACAACTGCGTATACACAAATAAACACACTCAATATACACACGAATACACCCACACACATACACGTACACATGAGTACACAAACTCGACATACATCCCCAAGTTTTGCCTTTTTTTTACCTAATTTGAGCACCTGTCCTCCCCTCACCCTTCCGGGACGTGCATAACTTCATTTCGGTTCGAATCCTACTAAAATTCAAACCCATTTCAATTAGGGGTTTGTAACCATCAAAACTAGATGGATGTTAGATATAATTTTACATTTACACCACCAACATTGAAAGAATCAACTCAAAACTGCTTTGTCTATTATTACCATCAATCCAAGACAGAAATAACAAGAATGTCAATAAACCAAGAACCAAAACATGAATGTGGCACACCCTTCAACTGTATTTTTGACAGTTAGAGTTCAAACTACGATTTTCTTGACTTGACTTGTTTCAATGCAACCAACTAAAAGTTTAAATAGTCGATATTAACCCATCTATTGAATTTTCAAGCTCCGTAGGGTAGAGCTGAGCAGAGAGAGTTTGCTAGGAGAACTCTGCTTGTAATCCTTCTCCAAGGCGGCAGCTGCCAATCCCGAGATCTCTTTGTCCTCATTGTTCCTCCCTTTAGTCAGTTGTGCAATTGCAGAAGTGCACTATATCGACAAAGCAAAAGCAAATATACCCCTTTTTTAGAAAGCAAATGCAACCAAGACCCCATTAAAATCGATGGAACCAGCAACTCAACCGGTCAGGTATTGAGTTTGCTCCCCATTGGTCACCAGTCCCAGTCCGGCCCTCAGGGCACCGGAGGCAGTCAGCAGTTAACTTCAGAGCCCCATGAGAATAACCTCAACCGGTAAGACCTTAGGTTTGATCCTAATTGGTCATTGGTTCGAGTCCACTCAGGGCCATTGGAGGTTTCCTGGGCTGTTAACTTCAAGGCCCCATGAGAATAAGCTCAATGGTAAAGACCTCGGGTTTGCTCCTTACCTTGGGGCCACTGGAAGGTTTTTCAGGCTGTTAACTTCAGGGCCCCATGAGACTACTCGAAGTGCGTGCAAACCGGCTTGAATACCCACGGTTATCAGAAAAAATAAAAAGAGATTGGTGGTGAAAGAAAGCTCACCAAGCAAATTCCAAACAGTGCTCTGGTGTTCTTCCCTCCCGTCAATTCTATGGTGGAGGCATAATATTTCTTAGCTGTCTGAAGGTTTTCCAGCCCACCTATTGTGTAAATCACCTATTTTAGCACATACAAAGATGGTTAAGTTAACAGCCTATTTATTACAGCATGCAATAATAATGAACATAAATTAGATTAAAACAGTGTGAAGAGGCATAGCAAAAATGCGAACACTGACAGAAAGAAGCAGCCACAGAATGACACGACACAGTATAAATGATACAAAATCATACAAAAATCATATATGTATTATATATATATATATATATATTATATTATATATAACAGTTGAAAACTCCAAAGAGGATAATGGTATGGTTTGGAACTATACGACACAATATAAGATAATGTGATATAAAATGATGATACAAATTGTATGATTTCTAAACAGAAGAATGTCTTGGACTAAGATCATACTTGGAAACCTAGCATGAGAAAGCCCATATGCATATTCCTACATACATGTTTTGCAGGAACACGTCTTCTCCTAACATCTGCCCAAGATTCTGTCCTATGATGCATGTGGGTATAAATGCAAGAATAAAATTGATTTATAGATAAGGATTTAGTATACAAATTCATCATAAATACTTACATCAGCATAAGCCAAGTGATACAGTGGAATCATTGGTTGAGATAAGATTAACTCCTCATAGCAAAAAGCTGCTTGTTTATACCTAAATACAGAAAGAAGATGATAGTTCCAACGCTAACTGAACCACATAAATTGATAATAAGTGGTAACAAGGAGTATATGCACACAAGAGCACAAAGCCAAGAAGTACTCACATTTGCAATGAAACATATATTTCAGCAAGTTCTCTCCAGGCATCATGATCTGCCATGAATCTGGGGAAAAGGCAAATGTCAGGCGATCTTATAGTAAATAAGATCATAAATGGGGCTTATGATATATCTTCCTTACATCTCAAGATATTTATTGAGCCATTCAATGGCTCCTAAAATGTCTCCTCGTGCCTTTGCCATGGCTACCCTCCTCATGCTAATAACCTATAAATATAAAGATCATTAGAAAGCATATTCATCAAAATTAAAGATCAAAACCTTCTTCTTTGTTAATGTTTGAGTAACTTCTTCTATTTAACGGTGGCATGTTTCCGGCATGACCTATACCATAAATAGTTTATGGGAACTGATTGATTTTCCTTTCTCTTTTCTTTTTTCAACTGCAAAAAAGTGGCTTGTTTATTCATGATATAACATATGTCTAAGAATTAAAGAATCTCACTTGATCAAGTGGATTATCCTCTAGAAGACTTGAATAAGCTTTCTCAGCCTCAGCCCAGGAACCCTTTGCTTCAAGCAACATTGCTTCTAACCTACCTGTAATTACACAGTTATTACTAAAATCTAAAGGAGATTTAATGTCAAACCAAAATGCCACACAGATACTTAAAAACAAGATAGTTAACAGACGAATGTCATCAGAACATGGTCTGAGTTCATTGAAATGTGCTTATGGAGCATAGATTCAATTTCCATAGCTGTGGTTCTTGACTCACACAGACAAAATAAAAATGACTGGATAAATCATTTATGGTCCAAGTTAATCTCCATGAAGTTTGTGGGTTAGTGATGGTTACCACATGCGCATCTGTTCAAGCAATTCTGGAACAAATAGGTATCATTGTAGTGTTGTGTCCAAGTGTGGCTGTTGGAGCTCAGTTACGGTGGATGGATCTTGTCATTTGTGGACAATGAGCGATGCCACGACTTTTGCATCACTATGGAATTGTATTTTAGTCTGAAGATTGACATGTTTTCCTTCTATAATCCGATTACTTAGTGATGGAGTCAATTATCTCCCTTTTACAAGGGGTGGTTCAGATGCTTTTCTCCTTATATCGAAATTTTGGATGCATAGAAACTCTTTAAAGTTTGGTTCCGTTAATCCCTCGATTCTGAGTTAACAAATTTAATTTGGCTGTTAATTCAAGACACTTTTTGGCAAGTTATTTAAGCTAATATACATCTCCTTCCTAGCACCTACTAAAGAAAGTCTAAAACTTAACGTGTCAGGCAGTGTTATCGAACACGGCAAGGAGAAATTTAGTTGATCCATGTGTACAATACAGCAATTCCAATTCTAAATGGTGAGGATGTAATGTGACTTAGCCCTGGTTCTGAACTGCTTGAAAGGTCAATGGGAGTCTGTGACTGACATCTGCCATCAGAATATCACTCGTATATTGTCATAACTCATGCCTTCTAAGTATATCTCACATTACAGAGGAGCTAAACTTTTCCAGTCAAGCTGAGAAGTTCTCTAGCCTGGTTCCTTGCCCTTAATTTCACCAAGCTGTAAATGCTACATAAGGTTTCCAGCTTCTGATTGATCATGTCTGGTTTTTGGATTTCAGGTTAACATAAATGCTACTGTTTACTGTTTGAGGGATAAGTTCACAAACTACCCTCTTCTTATCTTTTAGCCTCTATGAATATATAGTTTTGCAATTAGGTAAGCTCTGCAAAAAAAGTCCCCAACGCTTGAAGGTGGTTTTCTCTATCAACTACAAAATTAATATAGCAGATAGCGGAGTTATGGTGTCATTGGTGTGCATGGAGATCCTGCATCTGGACATCCATAATTCTTCTGGAAGGTTAGATATAGGGTTCTGCCACCATGCCAGCCACCAACTATGTTGCATAACACAGCATACGGGAAGTCTCAGGCTGAGTACAGCTATGATAGAAAGTAGATGATTGTTTCAAAGAGTTATCTGATAGACAATGAAACAATGTACATAAACGGTAGCATATACAGTAAATTCACTAGACAGAAATAGAATAATATGCAACAGTTTGACAGATACTTATGTATATGTGTGTTTTTTTGACACTGATGTATTGGACTCACCAACTCGTTTGCTGTCTGGAAACTTCTTCTGTAAAACCTTTATGCAATCCTGCAAAAGTTTTATCTTGATTAAAGGCCATATATTTACCAGCAAGCAATTATCAAATGACATTAAATTGGAAAAATAAGAACAAGCCCTGCTTTTAATCTTAAATTTCTTTAGCGTTCATTTTGTGGAGAGAAAAATATGCTTGGACCTCGCCAATGATGAAATGATATTGATTTTAAATACTTAATCTACAGTTTCAATATTCAAATCTTAACCTACAGTTGGTGACTGTCTCCCAACACTAGAGAAGTTCTACACTCTGTTATATGTACAACCTAAAAAACCTCCATTGTCTTTGTTTCTTGGCACTACTAGTTGTGTACCCACACAATGCGACGGGAGCCGTGAATTTTAACGATTTTGAAGTTTCACTGGTTTTATTAGAGAAGATTTAACGATGATATAAGTTACACTTGGTCTTTACATATTAATACAATTTGAATAAATAAGAGTTCTGGTTCCAATTACAGTCTACCGATGAAAAAAATTGTATGACAGTTTAAAATCCAATATATGTAAAACCCAACATATTTAAACGACTCCACAAATGTGTTCGATTTACACCAAGAGCAAAGAATCAAGAGATCGAGAGTGACACCGAGAGTTTTAGAGCAATTGAATGGGAGATGAATGGGAGAACTTTTAATAACTTATGGTGGATATCAGTTTGAATCTCACCTTGGGGGATGGGGAGAACACATAGAGGTATAAGAGGGTGAAGGCATGAGTGAAAGGTGTCAAAAGTATCTTGAGAACATGAAAAGAAAAGGTAATAATGTGCATTGGTAACTTGTACTATATGTTATTTTAATTGTAGATTAAGAGATTTTAAGACTAATTGCATAAAGTAGTACTTAATGTATTATGAGTTGTTTTTAAGACTTTGTGCATAAATGTATAGTACTTTGTGCATTAAAAATTGTTTTAAGACTTCTGATAAATCTGGTTTATAAGGAAGTATAGATAATTCTTATCCTCCACTCATCAAGTATTCTCTTAAAAATCATAATCAGTTTGAATAGAATCACTAAATCAAGAGGCATCAATTTCTCCTTGACACTTCTTCATGCTAAATAGGAACTTCATCATCTGGTCCCTACTCCACACTATCAAAATTCAAACTTCATTTCTTGTACTTTTATGCTACTGTTTAATTTAACTCAATCAAATAAATCATGTCTTAATCACTAAAAATAGAACATCTAAGCAACAGCGATCCATTGTGAAGATGGTCACAGCTGCCCTTTACTAGTGTAAGTTGGTATTGTAATTTTGTGCAGTACTTTGAATTGCACCACATAAACCACATTTAATGAAAAAGAAAAATAGTTCAGCCGAAGAGATACTTAAATCAAAATGTATTCCAGGGGATTGTGTATATACATGTACACATGTATAAATATAGGAAGATAAAAATGCTACCTTTGCAACTTCAAGACATTGGCAGTCCAAAGCAGCAATAGCTACCTGCTCATATAGAGTCCATTCTACAATATGTAAAAGTAGAACCATTAATCATAGGTGCCTTGTAGACTTGTGTGGTAGACCATAACATACAGTTTCAACAAATAAAATAGCAGAAAACCAAACCACCAAAATTGGTTTGCCCATGAAAGAAAGAGTTTGGCTCACTTGAGTGCCTAGACATTACTATTTACAAGGACAATGAGAGAAAAGTTTGAAACATCTTGTCTTTCCCAAAAGGTTCTTAAGAAGATCATAACTTTAACAAGCAGGCTGCTACTTTTCGGTAAGGTTGATAATGTCATAAAGTTTGTTTGACACTGATGTTATTCAGTGATTTGATTGCTCCAGTTTTTATGCCTTTCACAGAAGTGGAAGATTGTCTTTGACACCACAAAGGAAACAGATGATACAAACCGTCAATCATTCAAGTAGGAAGTACCCAACACAGAGTACATTTTAAAAATCATTGAAACTGGTCATGCTTTTCATCCGTTCAATACCCATGCCTGAATAAAAAGGTTGGACGTTCAATTGAGTGCTAATAGTGTGTAGCAAAATTCTCGTAAAAAAGAATGAAAATTAGGTGACACTTGAATTCAAAATTACCTTTATATGTTATAACAAAAAAATTGGATTCAACTATTATATTTCAAAGAGGAAACAGAAGATTTTCTAAGCTTATAATCTTCCATAGGTCAGCTCTAGCTTAATTCTCAGTTCCGAAAAGGTCCTACACATACCACTAACACTAGCATGCTCCTTGCAAAATTACATTTCTACAACAAACCAATAAGTAACAAAAAGACCTGCAGAAACTATGGTAATATTAATCAACCATCTGTACAACCAACAAGCAAACAGGGCCAGATTAAGGTGAAATTTGAAGGTAAGCTCTGTGAACCTCGAGTTAGCAACAACATTTCTGCCAGTAACAACTATATAGTTAGGCCCTTGTTGGAAAATAGAAAAGCATTCTTACTATCCACCTTGTGTGGTCAATATGTAGCTCATATTGTTATTTTCTTACTTGATCATTGATTTAATTATTATCATCATTATTATTTCCACTTATCTAATGCCTAATTCCTTGTCAATTACTGCTTATGTAGATTTCTATATATTTGTAGGCAATAATTAGTAAATTTTCATTACCCTCCATGTCATGGGCATTCCTGTAGAGTCTAAAATAATGGAGCAACAGTCTCGGATTCAGTTTAATTATCAAAGTTCAAATTCATAAGACTTGCAGAAAGAAAACTGTTCTTCTATTCCTTGTGAAAGTACAACTAATATCAACTAATTACATAGTCTGTACAGTATCAATAGAAACAAATTAAGGGAGTCTAAAAATAAAAAATGCTAATAAGTTTACCCCATCAAAGAAAATTTCCTATCCACCACTTTGCACAGCCAACAACAATCAATAAACTTATCAAGCTATCTGAGACCTACAAGCATACATGCCTATTCTCCAACTGAACTTAGATTTTCTAAGACAAACTTAATACCATTTCCATATGTAAATTTTTTACAAAATCTTATCAAAGATCTAACACCAACACTATTTGGCTTCTAGTAGTTGCTATAAAATACAAAGTATCTATCATTTTTTTTCTATAAGAGTTCGAAACCATATCAATTTTAAAGTTGAAAAACAGTCATCTGACTCCAAAGTGAAATTGTAGCTCTCTCTACTGGAACAGAACCATGGAGGAAACAGACTCGATAACAGTGGTTTCAATTCATAAATCTGAAAGTACGACAATTTACAAATGAGTATTCAAAATTAAGGGCCAAAAGGAAATTAAATTCGCTTGGAATACAAGAAACCCATCAATGTTCTATAAAACACACTTCCTAGGAACAAAAGGTCGACGAATTCTCCAAGACCCACAAATAGGATAAAGGGTTCAAAATCGAATCAACCTGAAAAAACTACCGAAAAATTGATCAATAAATAACCAATAAGGAAAGATATAAGTACCATCGGGGCCGAGAGCAGAGCGCTTTTTGGGGTCGTTTAAGATGGTTAAGCCATGCTTTAAGACCTTGTCGGAACGTCGAAGCTTGAGCTTGCGAACAAGAGAGAGATACTCCCAAGCACCACCACCCCTGTTTTCAACTTGATTCTCAAGTTGCTGCAACTGTGATTCCTCTGTTTTACTCACCATCTTGATCTTCAGATTGAATCTCTGCAAACTTCAACTGAGATCGGGAGGGAGTGGGAAATCCGCTGCCGGCTTTTCACACGATATTTGGAGTGAATTAGGATTAGGAACCAGGTAAATCGGTTCGAGTATAATGATACCCATTTCCTGACCCGTACCCGTTCCTCGGATCCTAATTTTCCAATCACCAATAATTGTTTTAGTAAAGTTTTATTTGTTCCTATGGTTTAGTGAAAAGGGTCCAAGTAGGACCTAAACTCTAAATAATTTTTTTTGGTAGAATTATGTTCACCGACTCCATTTAAAATGATCCGTTATTTTTATTTTTTTATTTTTATATCGTTTTGCTGTACAAATAAAGAATATGTTAGTATATATATGTATATATATATACTATATTATAAACTATTTGGTAAAAACTCTTAAAAATAATTTTTTATACGTAAAGTACAGTTTATTAATACATATTACTTAAAACTCAATATTACAAGTAGATTGTACGTAAATACAACTTATTAAAGCTACATATCTGAATTCGTGTAACTAACTGCAGATAAACATAATCAAATACAGKATAAACATTTCATTTTAAATATAAAAAATCTAAAATATAATTAGAATAATTATTGAGTTCTTACAGAATACTTAATTATTATCTTTATAAAATGTTATATTATTAAACCAAAAATAAATTATTTCGTTATTAAACTTAAATTAAATTATAATAAAAATAGTAAATTAAAGAATACATACAAAATGAGAACTTTTAAATAGTTGATTTGATATTAACATTGATATATTTTTTTTCAAGTTTTTATGATATCTTCAAATTTATATTTTATTCAAAAATAAAATCATTATTGATTTCTTAAAAACACATAAAATCGTATTATAACATCGACAGAGACAAATAATAAAATAGAACATTAAAGTCGATATTTGTCTCGCTGCATTGTGCGAGTACTCTTCTAGTATATATAATAGGTCAGGTTTAAGAAAAAAATCGTAAAAAAAACCTAAAAACACTTTAATAAAATTTGATTAACTCTAATCTAAATATAATAAAAATAGTTAATTAAACAATTTATTAAATACAAAAATGGTAAAATGGTACATTTCATTAATGAATGATTATTTCTATGTATAAAAAATCCTTTTAGCACAAGTTGTGGAAAAACTTCTTTTATCCTCTAAAAATTCTACCAAAAACAACTCCACAATCTACAAAAAAAAAAATCTACTAAACGATCAATAAAAATATTACAATCGGTTCATCGTCTTCAAAATTCTACGGTACATGCATATATGAAAGAATCATCGTGTTAAATATCGGTTGCATGTACATGCGAATGAATCACTGTATTCACCTTTTTTATTTTTTGGATTGAATACACGTGTAAATGAATAACTGAATTCATTAGGGGTGTTCAAAAAAACCGTTGGACCGCTTAAACCGGCCGAACCCAAGTCAACCGAACCATTTTTTACGGTCTGACGGTCTAGTCTGGTTTGGAAAATAGCAAAATCGGGCGGTCTAGTCCGGTCTGCGGTCTGGAACCTTTTTGGGCGGTTTGGATCAAATCAACTGCTAAACACACACACACACACACACACACACATATATATATATATATATATATATATATATATATATAGATGAGCGATCAAATGAAAACCTCCTCCATTCGTGTAAACCGTGTAAACCAATCTCATCCATCCATTTTCTTGATCGATGGTCAAGATTAGTTTAGTTTATTTTAAGAAATTAAAATATATATATATATTAAAATTTTATTTTTATATCAGCAATAAGAGCAAAATTGTAAACAAAATACCTTCATGAAACCTGTTTCATGTATATTAATTTTTTTATTTCACTCCTGATTTGATAAATTCATTCCTTTAAGCCTTACAATCTTCAAGATTCTGGAGCAGATTACAATCTTCAAGATTCTGGAAGAGATTCATCATGTACCTGTTTCATCATGCAATTATTTCATGACGAACCAAATACATTATGCACCCGTTTCACTACTCATTGTTCAATTACGCCATGAACCAGTTTCACCTTCATGAAACYTGYTTCATGTAAATTAATTTTCTTATTTCACTCCTGATTTGATGAATTCATTCCTTTAAGCCTTACAATCTTCAAGATTCTGGAGCAGATTACAATCTTCAAGATTCTGGAGCAGATTCATCATGCAATTATTTCATAACGAACCAAATACATTATGCATTCGTTTCATTTTCCATTTCACCTACTAAATTGATCAACTACACCATCAATGAAGCAGGGTTCACCATGAAACCAGTTTACTACTCCTTGTTCAATTACGACATGAACCAGTTTCACCTTCATAAAACCTGTTTCATGTACATTAATTTTCTTATTTCAATCCTGATTTGATGAATTCATTCCATTATGTCTTACAATCTTCAAGATTCACCAGCAGATTCAATCACATCACAAAATATCAAGTTCAAATTTTTAATATTATAATATAATTAAATATTTAAATATTACCATTTATAAAATTTTCTTTATTACGTTTTCTTAATTAAGATTTATTAATAATTTCCATATTTAATAGAAAATATTGTAAATGACCGAAATACCCTTATTGATTAAATTTAATTAGAAAAAAAATGGAATTTCCTATTTATCGAAATTAGTTTACACGGTTTCTTAGAAATGCACGGTTTTCATTTGAACGTGCCTCTATATAGATATATTAGTATTAACAAGCCCAACTTTTTTAACTTATGGGTTATGACCCAAATATATCCCTAAGCCTAACCTAACATCTAACATAATCAAATCCAAATCAAATGAATAGTGAATCGGTCAATTAGCGCCTAAACCAATAAACATATCGATAGTTGACACATTTGAAATCCCTCAATACTCTATCAAATCTGCCATAGTCTCCAAAACGGTCATCGACGCAAAACATCATGTCTCCAAATCCGTCATCGGCGCACATCATCAGGTCTCCAAACAGTGGCAGATGTAGAAAAATATATTGTAAGGGGCATGATATAAGATAAAATAAATAATTAACTTCAATTTCATACAAAAATGATAAAAAGTTGCCTCTTACAACTGTGCCCTACGACTCTTCATCTTTTGAAATTGAGTAATTACATCATCATTTGAAACTGTGAGAAGTGCTTCTTTTTCTATAGTACATATCATTGCAGCATTCAAAAATTCATCACTGATTTTGTTGCGCAAATCTGACTTCACAATCTTCATAGCAGAAAAACATCTTTCGACTGTTGCAGTAGCAACTGGCAAAACCAAAGCCAACTTCAATAACCGAGATACTAGAGGATAAGTTTTATGCTTTTTTGATTCCGCTAGCAATCTAGCGAGCTCGGCAATACCACTCAAATTGGCAAATCTTTCATCTTGACGCACAATCAAATAGTACATGTTAAGTTGTTTCTCAAGAGCGATCCTTTCCATATGACTAAAATCTTGATGATACAACTCACTCAACTTCAATAAATCTGATACTTTGAACTGTGAAAATGAATCGTATAGACTTAAAGCTGCTATATTTTTAAGTAATTTAGTACTTACCTCACTAAATCGATCCCCAAACTCTTGATTTGTATGTCCACGACAGTGTTGAAAATATCAAACTTGTAATAATGACAATTGGTGATGTTGGTCATTTGTCTTCCGTTTTTTGAATAACGGTCTTCCATATCCAAAGCTTTAATACCATTTGTTTCACAAAAAGAATACATTTTCTTCAAAAGTGGATCAAAACTTGTTTCTCTAAATTATTGCAATAGCTGTTTGGTTCCTCTTATCAATGGAACTGCTTCTAAAATATCTTGATCCTTTTTTTGAAGATCCCGTGACAACAAGTCTGTGACCTCTAAAATATGAAACATCAAATGCAAATAAATCACGAAATCAAATGTGTTCAAATATGCTAAAATATCAGTTGCTTGAGTGCGACTAAAACCATTATCCCCGTCCTCTTCAACATACTGGAGCACATCAACAACATTCGGAAACAAAACAATCAAGCTCAAAATGATTTTGTAATGAGAACCCCACTGTGTATCTCCGGCTCGTATAAGAGAAAGCTCTTGGTATTTCCCTGTTCCAGTATCAATTTCACACTTACCAGTTGCTTCTTGCACTCTATCTTTGTAACTTTGTCGAAGCATGTCTTTACGTTTACAAGAAACATTCACCACATTGATCACCATTCCTAACATATTAAAAAAGTTCTCAACTCTGTCATGTTTATTTGCAACCGCCACAACAACTAATTGAAGTTGGTGAACAAAACAATAGATATAATATGCCGAGCTATTTTCATTCAAGATCAAGGCCTTTAATCCATTGAACTCACCGCGCATATTGCTTGCTCCGTCATAACCTTGCCCTCTTACCTATTTCAAACTCAATCCATGTTCAACAAATAAAGTATCAATGACATATTTAAGAATTGAAGAAGATGTCCCCGTCACATGAACAATACCAAAAAATCTCTCCTTAACAATACCACGTGCATCAACATATCCTAAAACCACCGCCATTTGTTCCTTCTTAGAGACGTCACTAGACTCATCAACTAGCAATGAGAACACATCATCACCAACTTCTTTATGAATGGATTTGAGTATTTGATTTGCAAAACAAGCAGCGATATCTTTTTGAATACTTGGAGACACCATTTGATTATTCTTTGAAGCATTTTTTTAATATAACTTTACCTACATCCTTATTGCAATCACCAATCAAGGCTAATGTTTCCAAGAACATGCCTTTAGAAATAGACATTTCAAATTCATCGTGACCACGAAAGGGCAATACATTCTTCAACAAGAATCTACAGGCCTTAATTGAAGCATTTAATCGTATTCGGTACTCATTCTTCTCCTTCTCAGTTTGCTTATGAAAGGCAACGACAATAGATCGATCTTGGCTTATTAGATTCTCACTTTTCTTAAGTGCTCTATTGTGAAAACTATTAATGTCGTCGACATGAAGACCAAGTCATTCCGTTTTATTCCAACTATTAAGACCATCTGTTACAAAAGCATCACTCCCACATTGTCCTATGTAATGATCTCTAAACAAATAGCAACATAAACAAAAAGCTCTATCCGTTTTTACTCTATACTCCAACCAATTAGAGTATTGATCAAACCAAGACGGACAAAAACGTCTTCCTTTACTCTCGACAATTTTTTTTGGAAATGCATGACCCCGTGGTTGACAAGGTCCTCTAAGCAAGTATTCTCTCCTTATTTCATCCCGTTGATTAGGATGATATTTCGAAATCTTTTTCCTATCGGCTGGATCCCATGGAAGATCGCTCAAATCAATTTCGTAGGGCATCGAAGGAGTAGAGCTCGATTAAGGTGTTGATGCTTTCCTTTTAAAAAATCTTTCCATTTTTTCTAGCAATAACAATAACAAGATAAAAAATCAATGGTTTATCTTTATCAATAGTAACATTTTCATTTGTCTACAAAATTAACCTTAACATTTCCATTTGATTTGCCTACAAAATTGCAAAATTAACCTAACATTTCCATTTGTCTACAAAATTGCAAAATTAACCTAACATTTCCATTTGTCTATATAATTACAAAATTAACCTAACATAAAACATTTACCAAATCACCAATTGTGAAGCAAACAACAAAATTAAAGTAATTAAAAATTAAAGACTGGAATTTGGATATTAGAATTTTTACCCAAATTAGAGTTGCTTTCAATCCAGTCCACTGTCCAGTCCAGGAAGGCAGGAAGCTGGAAGGAAGAAGCAGGCAACAACGATGATTGATGAAGAAGAAGAAGTGAAGAAGAAGCAGGCTGTAGCTTGCGAGTCTGCGACGGCGTGAAGAAGAAGAAGAAGAAGGAAATAGTCTGTAGTTGTCACCGTCGTGAAGCGCATAAGCAGTGAAGGGCAAGGGCTGAAGGCGTGAAGACTGAAGAAGGAAATGGAAGTGGGGCCTTCAAAATTTTCTTGGTGGGGGCCCAATTGTATTAAATTAAAAACTACAAGTAAAAAAAAATTGGCCTTTGTAAAATATATTTTGTTGGGGGTCCAGGACCCCAACCACCTCTTGATGCATCTGCCACTGTCTCCAAATCTGCCCTAGTCTCCAAATCGGCTCACAAATTAACAGATTTGTAAGTCATGTTTTATCACTTTATGAAACTTTTTTGTTGGTTTAAGAAATTTCTATCTATAGTGGGTCTTTGATCATTGATTATTGTTAGATATTTAGAGTATTAGTGATGTTTCTATGAAATCTGATTTCCTATATTGAGCATACTGTAACTTATGTTTATTTTCTATATTTTTTTGTTTGTGTGTCTATTTATGTATTTTAGATGGAAATATCCTCTCAAACTCAAAGTATAGACACAAATGATGCTTCTAAACCTTCTTTGCCACCTAAATCCAAAGAGAGAAAAAAAAGCAGACAATGTTTTGAAGTATGGGACCATTTTATGAGAAATGAGACTAACCAAAATGACCTAAGGGCTGTGTGTAATTACTGTGGCAATGATTATGCAAGTGATGAGAAAAAAAGTGAACTAGCACCCTTTAGAACCATCTTAACCATCAATGTAAAAAATATCGATTTAGATTAGAGGATAAGAAGCAAATATTTTTGTCTTTTCAAAAGAATAACGTGAACGAAAGTGGTAGTCTTGTATTTGTGGGGTTTAGTCAAAAAGTATGTCGAGAAGCTAGTGCAAAAATGATTGTGATTGACGAGTTACCTTTTAGATTTGTTAAACAAGAAGGGTTCAAATCATTTTGTAGTGTTGCATGTCCTAAATTTGAACTTCGCTGGCGCATTACAATAGGTAGGGATATTATGAATCTCTATAATGATGAAAAGAATAAATTGAGGTCCTTTTTCTTTCAAAATTCACAAAACAGTTTCTCTCACCACAGATACTTGGACTTATATTCAGAATGTTGTATATATGGTATTCACAACCCACTTCATAGATTCTTATTGGAAAATTCAAAAGAGAATCTTGAACTTTTGTCAAGTGTCCAACCACAAAGGAGAGATAATAGGAAAAACTATTGAGACGTGTTTAAAAAAAATGGGGTTTTGAGAGGGTGTTCATTATCACTGTCGATAATGCTTCTTTTAACAACGGGGTTGTTCAACATATCAAGAAAAGATTGCAAATTTGGAAGAGTGATGTTTGTGATGGTGAATTCTTGCATGTTAGGTGTTCAACCCATATATTAAACTTAATTGTGGGTGATGGATTGAAAGAAATGAACTATTTTGTAGTTGTTGTTCGTAATGCAGTTAGGTATGTTAGATCTTCCCCCCTCAAGGTTAGCAAGATTTAAAAGTTGTGTAAAAAATACATGTAAAGAAGATAGATCACTTGTTTGTTTGGATGTGACTACTAGGTGGAACTCCACATATTTGATGTTAGATCATGCTTTGAAATATGAGGAGGCTTTTAAGTTATTAGAAGAATAGGATGATTACTTCATTCAATAATTTATTTAAGATGATAGAAATGGAAAAAAGCCGCTTGAGCCACCGACGTCTAAGGATTGGGAGCAATGTGCCGCATTTTGTAAGTTTTTGAAGGTTTTTTATGATGCCACTTTAAAGTTTAGTATTTCTTTGCATGTTACTTCAAATGTTTATTTTCACGAGTTGTCGCTAGTTCATGGGTTGATTAACAAATGGTGTTCAAGTGATAAAGAAAACTTGAAAGAAATGGCTTTGAGGATGAAAAAGAAATTTGATAATTATTAGGGGACCACAAACAAACAAAGTGTGATTCTTTATGCGACTATTGTACTTGATCCGAGATACAAATTAAATTATGTTACATTTTGTTTGAGACAACTTTATAGTGAGGATGAAATTACCTTATCACGGATTCCATCAAAAGTTGTCTTTCAAGACTAGTAGTTCATTATACTAGTTTGCTTAAAGCAGATAAATCTATCGAAGCCCCATCTGAAGGCTGAAGTTGTGAGTCTTGATTAGCAAGTTGTTGGATCGCTATAACATAAGCTTTGATTAGTTATCTACTTCTTTCATACATTTCATATAATCTTTTATCCTTCTAATTTATATGATGTCACTTTTTTCTACAGATTCCTCATTCCTGTTTGATAAAAGATTGAATCTTTATGGATTGTGAAGCTGTGGACTTTGTTTGCACTTTGCAACATATTATTGTTTTGACTTTCGTTAAACACTAAAATTTGGCTTCTATTTTGTTTGGTTAAGAACTCAAGAGTCAAGAATTGAAGGTTGTGAAGTCACTATTGTTTTGACTTTATTTGTTTTCTAACATGTATTATATATTTATTTGTTTGGACTTTGGATTGCTTAGATTTTGGACTCAAGAGATGTATAATTATTATATTTATTTGTTTGGATTTAAAATGGATATTTAATCTAAAAATCTAAATTATAAATGTTTTTTAAAGTTTAATATTTAAAGTCCATTAAAGACCCAAACTGTAACATCTGTCTTAAGCAAACCCCAAATTACCAATTCCTATAAAATCTCCAATAAAATATAATTTATTGATTATTGGGACCAAAATTGATCCTAAATTATTCTAAAAGTTTTGTCAAAGCCATCTGGGCCAATGATGGAAAATCTGAAAATGCTGCTAAAAAAAACTAAGTCTGGAGGAAGACGAGAGGCAATGGTTGGACCAGAGGCAATGGTCTAGAGGCTGCTGAAATGGCTAAGTCTGGAAGAAAACCAGAGGCCATGAAGGACCAGAGGTGAGACTATGAAAGACCAGAGGCAATGGTTGGACCAGAGGCAATGGTCCAGAGGCTGCTGAAATGGCTAAGTCTGGAAGAAAACCAGAGGCCATGAAGAACTAGAGGTGAGACTATGAAGGACCAGAGGCAATGGTTGGACCAGAGGTAATGAAGGACCAGAGGCCATGAAGGACCAGAGGCCATGAATGACCAACCCTTTGAAACCCACAGATCTGGGCATAACATTAATTAACCTCAAAATATGGGATATTAATTTCTAGAAAAACATTGAAATATCCGTTCTATTTTAGTGATAAAACCACCCAAAACACAATTCCAAATCGGATATAACGGATTTTTACTTACAACCCAAATTAAGTAGCCAAAAGAATACGGAACAAGATTATATATATATATATATATATATATATATAAGCTACTATTTACCCAAAAGCAAGTTCGATATCTTCAAGTTCCCCGATAAATCTTCAAGTCAAACAACGGGTTCTTTCTATTTATCCGTCTTCCTTCCTGAGAAAGGTTGCCACTTAAATGGTAAGCCAACGCTTAGTGAGTTAAATAGTTAAGCATTACATATCAATATCGCACATGATTATAAACATACATAATAAACTCTTATCAATAAAAGAGTTCAAGACATCATCCAGATATAAACCGAGACTTACAAGAAACCGAGTGAACCATTACGTATCAGATGCCAAGATCATAGGATTCCATATTCAAATCACCATATTATACCATACCATTGTTGCTCAATACAACAAGGAGACAGGTTCAATGACCAAATATATTCAACAACGTTAGAATACCAATAAAT